TTAGCAGTTCCACCAAAGAGACATGTCTCTCATACTACAGCTGCACAGTATGGTAAAAACATCATATAGTGATTATTTAGACAGTTATTGCAACTGGTGTGATTCAGCATCAGTGTGGGAATGACCATTTGTGCATTAGAAATGGGATTTTCACTGAAAAAAACGATTAAAATCACAAAGATGGGAATTATTCGTGGATCTTAAGTTTTCTTATATCTGGAGAACAATATTTGTAGTCCAGGGCATCTCTGCAGAACTACAGTACTGCATTGTAATGCTGTTTGTCACACACTTTACTTTCATCAAAAAACAGCAACTTCTGTGATTTGGATATTGCACTTGGCCATATTGTGATTTCGATAATTGTGCAGCCCTATCTCATTCGCATGTGAAAGACTTTGTTTGGTTCTTTTTTTAAAAGGTCAAATCTTAAACTCAAAAGGAATGGAGTAAAAAGAAAAATGCTTCCCTCTGTAGTGGAGCAGAAGTCTAAAGCAACAGAAACTAGAAAAACTCAAGTAAAGTCCAAGAAGCTCAACTTAAGTAGAGAATACAATAAACGTACCAAGTAACAGTCCACCACTGATAACAACAGTACGGAGCACCTGAGAGAGGAGCAGGTGGATGAGTTGCTTTTAGATTTGATCTTGTGGTGTTGCAGTATTAAGCCCTTCAATTGTTTTTATCCGTGTAGTTTTAAAAAACAAAATTTAATCCCCTGAATCTCTGAAGTGTTTCTAAAAATGTTTTGAAATAAAGAGAGTGACCTCACTGAAACACACAGGTTTTCTTCTTCTGCAGGGACACTGTACAGCTGGTGTGTGTGTGTGTGTGTGTGTGTGTGTGAGAGAGTGAAAGAGTGCGTGGGTGACTTTGATCTTCCCAGTACTTTGTGCATGAAAAGGTGCCAGGTGAAACAAGTACCAACACGTGTTAATGGTGTGTGTGACAACTTCTCTTTCCTCCTGCTCTCTTCCTTCCTTCCTTCCTGCTCTCTCTCCGTGTCTCTTTCTCTCTCTCACACACAACACACATCACACACACCTCTAAAATGTGAAACTGTTTGAGTCTTGTCTCTTCGCGTTTGGCCAGCTTCTCCTTTAGGTCCATGCCAATAAAGTGCAGGATATGATCAATAGAGAGGAAGGGGAGGGGACGCAGAGAGAGAGACGACGAAGAGAGAGAGAGA